ATCAACTTCTTATGTTGGAACATTAGGGGTGGTGCTCACCCAAATTCTCTCACAATACTAATGAATCTTGTGAGATCCCATAAAATTTGGTGTTTTGCTATTTTAGAACCAATGGTTACTAAGCATTCTATTAATATTATTAAAAAATTTTCTAAATTTTATCATTTTTCTAACTCTAATAACAAAATCTGGTTGTTTGCTAGAGCTGAGTTACAGTTGACAGTTTTGCTGAACAATCCCCAATATATGCATATTCAGTTTAAACTTAGTGTTCAAATGGGTTTTGCCACTTTAATATATGCTAGCTGTATTTCAAGACATCAGAAAAATCTTTGGATGGAGCTTTTGAACATCTGCCACTCTATCAACTCGTTTTGGATTGTGGGGGGAGATTTTAATTGTATTACCTCTCCTGCTCAAAAATGAGGTGGCATGCCTCCTCTACAATCAACAATGAACAGATCCAATGATTTCCTCATGGATGTTCACTTATTTGATCTGTGCTTTCATGGGCCTAAGTTCACTTGGAGAAGGGGATTTGTTCACTTATTTGATCTATGCTTTCATGGGCCTAAGTTCACTTGGAGTAGGGGATCTTTGTGGGAAAGACTTGATAGAATGTTAGGGAATTCAAATTGGCTTCAAACCTTTCCCTATACAATTATTACACACCCTGCAATGGCAGGGTCTGACTAGAGAACTTTACTTTGCTCCATTCAGAATTTTGCCAAGTCTGGAGGCTCTCCTTGTTTCAAAATATGTGTATTCTCCACCCTGAATTTTATAGTGAAGTTTCAAAAGCTTGGCTGGTCAGTGAGGATAAAGGGCCTTAGGAGAATTTGTGGCAGCTATAAAAGAAAGTGGCCAATCACCTAATGAAATGGAACTAGAATACATTTGGTAATGTAAATGTGAATTTAAAAGCTTCTCAGAACAAAGTTCTCAGTATTGAAGAGGATTTTTAGAAAGTCTTAAAGTCTGAAAAGGATCTATATAGAGCTAATGAAGGACTTTTTATACAGATTACTTATAATGAAGCATTTTTAAAACAAAAGGCAGCTGTCACCAAATTCATTGAGGGAGACAAAAAATCAAGCTTCTACCATGCTTGCATGAAGTTTAGGAGAAAATGCAATATGATTCTTGAAATACAAACTTTGAAGGGAAAAGTTTAACTGAGGCTGAGGATATTGCTCAAAATGTTGTCCAGTATTTTCAACAAATATTCAATTCCCATCCTTTAAATAGAACCAATATTGACGCCAATCTAATTGGTGACTTTCAAGAATATGTTAGCAATCTGCAACTTGCTCAGATCCCTTTTGAATTAGAAATTAAAGCTGCTCTTGACTCCATTGATGGCCACATGACAGCTGGACCTGATGGCTTCACTACCAATTTTTATAAGGTCTCCTTGACTATGATTAAGGAGAATTTCATTTCAGTTGTTCAAAATTTCTTAAAGGTATTGATCCACCTAGATATTTTACTTCCTCAATCATTACTTTGATTCTAAAAAACTAAATCAGGAAAGATTGTGGTGATTTCAGACCCATTAGCTTGACTAATGTTATAACCAAAGTAATCAGCAAGGTATTGGTTTCTATAATTCAACCCCACCTTCAACAGCTAATTTGTTCTAATCAAGCAACTTTTGTCAAAAGGAGAACCATATCTGATAACATTTTACTTGCACAAGTCATGTTGTTATATTTGGACAGGAAGTGTAGGGGAGGACATGTTATTTATAAATTGGATACCAAGAAGGTTTATGACACAATTAATTGGAACTTCATTTTGGAAACTCTTGTTGCAAGGGGTTTTCCTGAGGATTTCATTTTTCTTATTAAAAGATGGCTTCATTGTAATAATCATTCTGTGCTTGTTAAGGGTAGGTGCCATGGCTTATTCTCGAGATGGCTTCATTGTAATAATCATTTTGTGCTTGTTAAGGGTAGGTGCCATGGCTTATTCTCAGCTCCAAGAGGGATTAAGCAAGGGAACCCTTTATCCCCCACAGTTTTCATTTTGGCTATGGATTACTTCTCCAACCTTTTGAATCAAATGTTTTCAACATCACCTCATTTGTCCTATCAGCACAAATCAAATGTGTGCATCAGCCATCTGTCTTATGCTGACGATGTGATAATCTTCTCTAATGCCACTAAGAGTGCGACAAAATTTTTGTATAAGGGCCTTAAACATTTCCAGCTTACTTCAGGTATGGAGTTAAATAAAAAAAATGCCAAATTTTTGTTATCACTAACATTTCTCCACAAATAAAAAATTGGATATCCTGTCATACTGGATTTAGCTTGTCTTCTCTACCCATCAGATGCCTTGGGGTTCAACTGATTAAGGGTAGAACAAAGCAAATTCAGTTTAATTATGTTATTGATCAGATTAAAAATCAACTTCAATGCTGGATTAATTCATTCTTGTCTAACGGAGGAAGAATCACACTTCTCAAGAGTATTCTCACTGCACTTCCCTCTTATGCTCTTCAAATGTTTACTATGAAGAAAGACACTCAACACTTGCTGGGGAGAATTTTTAATAAGTTCTTATGGGTTGGACAGAAGAAGCAAGTTCACTAGCTTCCTTGGCAGAAATTATGCAAACCATATTTTGCTGGAGGATTGGGATTTAAAAATTTTCAGGACCTTAGTTTCATTAATTTATACAAATTATGGATTAAATTAAGAGCCCAGGATAGTCTATGGGCTCTCTTCATGATGGCGAAGTATTGTAGAACTGTACATCCAAATCTAGTTAATAAAAAATTGGGAGACTCCGGGATTTGGGGAAAACTTTTGGAAGTCAGACAGCAGGCTGAGAAGACCTTCATCTGAGAATTGGGGGAAGGACAAATCAACTTCTGGTTAGATTGGTGGACTTGGAATGGAGATAAAATTATGTGCTCTAACTCTAACCCCAATTATCAAGATTTGGTTAAAGACTATTGGTCTGAAAATCAATGGAACTCTAGATTGCTACATACCATTCTGAATAATGATCAAATTCAGCTAGTTAAGCAAACCTCTTTCTATCCTGGTCAAAGAGATAGAATTATCACTAAAAAGGCTCCCTCACAAAAAATTTCTGCATATATATATCAAGAATTCTATCACTGGCCAATTGTTCAATGGGAAAATGAAATCTGGGGGAAGTGGTTGACTACTTCAATGTCATTTTTCTGCTGGAGACTGTGGCAGTCCTTGCTCCCCACAAATGACATCCTTAAAATGAAAGGCCTTAGAGGTCCTTCCTGTTGTTATCTCTGTCAAGAGGAGGAGGAGACACTGGATCACCTTTTCTTCAAATGCAGCTTCTCTCAACAAGTCTGGATTGATCTATTGGCATAGGTAAGAATTGATACTCTTACCCTCTGTTGGAATATTTTTTCTACCTGTTGGAGAGAGTGGCAGAAGATTAATCTACTAGTTATCCCCTTTGTGGTTGCTTGGTTTATCTGGATGGGTAGAAATCAAGCTAAATTTGAGGATTCTTTACCTCTAACTAAAGTTGTTATAGCTAATTGAACTTCTTACATATAGAAAATCATTCAACATCACAATTTCCCAAATCTCTTCACGCACTCGGCACCTCAAAGTAGAAATCAGTCTAATTTCAAGCTCTCATTGATTGTGTGGTCTCCTCCTCCTGTTGGTTGGATGAAATTTAACACAAATGGTAGTTTTTTAAGGGGAGTTGTTGGGTTTGGGGGAGTGTTTAGAAACTCCCAATGGCAGTGTGTCCTTTTTTCCTCACCTTTCTTCCTCACCAACTTGGGCATTGGATGCTTTGGAAGCAGAAATGATTGCAATCTTTTGGGCCATTATGCTTTCAATTCACTGTAAAATCTGGCCATTAATTATTGAATCTGACTCCAACACTTGTATTAGGATATTGCAGAATGAGGGGGATCCCCCATGACATATTGGAAGGTGGATCAACAAAATGGAGACTGCATTGGGCAGCTGGAGTGTGGAATTTTAGCATATTAACAAACAAGATAATGGACCTGCTCACCATTTGGCTGCCACTAGCAGAAGCTCGGAACAAGTTATAGGTTCTACTACACCTCCTCCTGCTCTATCCTTTCTCCTTCATGGGGACAAGTTAAACCTCCCTTATTTTTCTGTTTTGTAATGGTACATATATATATATATATGGTATACCCCCTTTTTTGCCTTGGGGTGGTATTATAGGTGGTTGGGATATCCCCTTATGAGTGAGTAATGTTCTTTTTTGGCTTTATAGATCTAGGGACCCTCTCCAAACCTAACTTTTCTGTACTTATTTTGTATTAACATGCAGGGAGCCGAATAATGCTCATTTTTCCCAATATATATATATATATCCTATAAGGGCAAGACTCTATAACTAATTACATCTTAAATGACCAAAGTGATTTAAGAAAACTCTCGATAAAAATCAGGAAAATAATGACGATATAAGGTAAAATTGTCAAGAAAAAAAAATCAAAGTACGAGGCTCTTAAGTCCATTTGGCTAAGTTAGGGACCACTCAACCTATTAAGATGGCTCAAGCAAAAAGGTGCACTCACTTGTTGAATCTAAAAATATTTGGGAATCACACCCAACGAATAGAGTGTATGAAGAGAAAATTAAATTAGCTTCGCTTTTTACTCATCTTGGTGTACTTAGATCGTGGGTCTACTACATTTATCATGTACTTATATTTTGCTCTGAGATTTATGCTCATGCAATCCTGTCATATGCATCAGATTTATATGTCATATATTTATTTAATTGCAGTAGCTACGGTCAAATTCATCCGGGCTGCTTTACAAGTTTGAATTACGTATGGTTTTTTCGCTTTTGAATGGTCAAAATTTGTTGCTATTTGAATAATATTTTTTTCTTTTATTTTATTATTTTTCAAGAGCCGGCTCTAAATTCTCTTAATAATAATAATTAAAAAAACACTGAAATAACCCGTCAAATCTCCCCTGCCGCCATTGACGCAACAGACGTGACGCAGAGGTAAACCTTCCCGAACTCCATAAATTCCAACCTACCCATTCACTCAATCTGCATTTCTTTCCAAAACAGAGCAAAATACATGGCAACCATGTCTCCCACCTTGCTCCTCCTCCTCCTCCTCCCTCTCCTCATTACTGCAGACAAATGCAACAAGAATGACAAACGCGCCCTCATTTCCATCAAATCCGCCTTCAACAATGCCTACCACTTCGCCTCCTGGACCTCCACCTCCGCTTGCTGCGATTGGTACGGCGTGGAATGCGACCCCGGTGTCCCCGGAAATTCTGACGGATCTCGCGTCACGGGCCTCTTCGTCATCACTGATTCCAATGTCACTGGTCCCATCCCCCCAGCCGTCGGCGACCTCCCTTTCCTCACCAGTCTACGATTCCACAAACTCCCCAAGCTCACCGGTAATATCCCTTCCTCCATCACCCGTCTCACCCACCTTTCTGTCCTTGATCTCTCCTGGAACTCCCTCTCGGGTCCCATCCCTTCCTTTCTCTCCCAAATCCCTTCCCTCACAATTATCAACCTCTCCTTCAACCTTTTCTCCGGCTCAATCCCACCTGAGCTTGCCAAGCTTCCTTCTATACTCGGCTTCGACTTTTCGCGCAACCGTCTTAGCGGCTCAATCCCCTCCGAATTCGGCAATTTCCCTAAATCCTCTCCGCCGGATCTGATTCTCAACCACAATAGTCTCTCTGGCAATCTCCCGACCTCGCTCGGCGTGCCGGAATGGGGTAGGCTCGATTTGAGCAGAAACAACTTTACCGGCGACGCTTCGTTTTTGTTTGGTGCGGAAAAGTCGACGCAGACGATTGATTTGAGCCGGAATGAGTTCGCCTTTGATCTGAGTGGGGTTACCTTTCCGGTGAACTTGACGAGTTTAGATCTGAATCACAACAAGATTACAGGGTCGATACCGGCTCAGATAAACCAGGTGGAGCCGAACTTCTTTGTGGTTTTTAATGTGAGTTACAATCGGTTATGTGGTGAGATTCCGGCTGGGCAGATCACGTCGAAGTTTGGGGCTGATGCATATTTTCATAACAAGTGTCTCTGCGGTTCGCCGTTGCCTCCCTGCACTCAGGAAATAGAAGTTTAAATAGTACAAATGATAAATTTTTTTTTTAATAAATAACCTGTGATGGCATTGATATTGACGTAGTTTCCTCCATCTTTCTTCGTTTGTGTAGATTTCATCTACTTTTTGTTGGGTAAGTTTCTGTTCTCGTGTTATTTGAATGTGGTCAAAATAAATGAAAAAACGATGTGAGTTTTGGGAATAAATTATGTGGAATATTTTGCCGTTGGCAATTTGGAGGTGTGCACGATCATGATATGTAAAATGAGAGACAAATGGCATTTCTGTGATTATTATTATTATTATTATTATTATTATTATTATTATTAATATACTATTACGTTATGCTTAAGTGATAATTAAATTTGAAATTAAAGGTTAAAATATATTTTGAATTTGTATCTGTAATTTAAAAAATAAAAATAAGAAATCTCTCAATTTATCCAGAAGAAGAAACATTAATATTTACACTTTAAATAATTCGTTTTTTTTTTTTTCATTTTGAAATAGATAAAATCGACTTTCAAATTTAGCTGTAGTCAAAATCGAATTTCATGAAGTTGATTTTATTTGAAGTATTTTTTTTCCTTAAATTATGTGATTCGGTGGGAGTCTTGACTGATGGGATTTAAGCAAATAAAAATAGAAAAAATAGCAATATGGTTTAATTCTGTGTGAAATTCTATTGTTATAGCATAAATTATTTATTAATTAGTTTAAAATACTTAAATAATTTTATTATTACTTATTAAATATAGTATTTATAATAATTTAAATTAATATTTGTGAAGATAAGTATAAATGTATCTAAATATATCAAAGTGAACTACATAATTTACCAAATTCTGTTATTTAAAAAATTTAACATTTCAGAGACAATGAAAATTAAAAATATAAATATATTTTATTATAAAAATTTATTACCTTAAATCAAATTTACTTCATAAATATATATTTTTGATGAATGCCAAAACGTGCATTGAGATAGATTAACGAAATATTGTCTTAGTATTGCATAAAAATACAACATATGTTCAGGTAATTAAAATGAAGTATGAGGTGACATTTCAATTTTTATGTGGAAAACCGTAAAAAGGGGAAAACTCATGAGATCTAGTACAGTTGAAATAATCTACTACGAACTGTTATTACATTGGTCATCAGTTCTCTAGAATTAGAGAAGATGAAGTTATGAAATTGTTCATTGTAAATGTACAACAGTAGCACATCAATAATATCCACTATCTGACAGTAATGAATGTAGTTCTTGATGATAGCAGACTCAAAGGGCCGTGATCGATTTCTGTGATAAGTTTCTATGGAGGGAGAAGTACGCCTTGAATGTTGTAGATAGTGGTTATAGCGCTAGCTTATCATATAGTTCGTAGTTGAAAGTCATGGCAGGGGTTGCTCGTGTGGGCCATAAATTGGTG